TGTCCCCTCCCGTGTGTCCCACCCACGCGTGTCTCCCCTCGCACCCGCCGCGCCTGGCCCCGTCCTGCCATGAAGATGCCTCATCCCAGACCCCTGGAGTTTTAGGCAGCGAGAGGGATCCCCCATCCTGCCACCCCGGGGTCCAAGCGGGGCTCCGGGGATCCCCTTCCCATAGGGACAGAGGGCGCGYACCCAAGTGCAGCCGCACCTCCCCAAAGCCATTTATCCCTGGCCAGCTTGCTGTGGAAAGGTAGATTTATTCACAGCGAGCGGCTGTAAAACTCTCTCCCAAGGGCCTTGGCAGGAATGACGGCGGCTCCAAATTATTTTGCGAGGGGCTGTGCTGCTGCACGAACCCTCTGCACGCTGCCCTCGGGGTGCATGTTTGCCCCGGGGTGTGTGGGACGATGTTTCTGCGCCCCTGAGTGACACCTTGAGGACCAGAAGGGACCCACGGGGGTGAAGGTGTCCCCCAGATGCTGGCACGTCCCCTCCTGCCACCGGGGATGCTCGATCGGGATGCTCTGCATGGGCCGGTGCTGTGCTGGCTCCAAGCGGAGCTGAAGATCCTCTCCCGGCGAAGGKGGGCGCGGGCAGGGARGGGCGGAGGGGCCGCTCCCCACCCCGGGTCGGTGCAGGCGCGAACTGAGGTGGAAATGAAAGACTGGAAAGAACGGGTGACCTCAAACCGCAAGCTGGCAGCTATTAATGCAAGCGCTGGCAGCCGCCCAGCCATGCCATTTGGCCGCTGGCCAGCGGGTGAGCAAGCTCCCTCAGCCCCGGCCAGCCCAAAATTCCTGCTGCGAGCTCCGGCACACCGGTACCGCCGGCCCCTCGGCTCACGGCCACCCCGGCTCACGGCCAGCGGCCCCCAAAAGCGGGCAGGGTGTGATAAACCACCAGGAGGGTGCAAAAACTCTGCAAGACCGGCGAAATTGGCAGCTGGCACCTGGATGTGGCACAGGGCCACCCAAGAGGAGCTGGCTTCATCCCTGGGGGGTGGGCAGAGGCAGGGAACAGGCAGCAAAAAATCCTTGTCCAGCCAAAAGGAAAGTTTTCCTCCAGCATCTTTCAGATCTGGATAAAAGTGGTGGGGAAAAGCATTTTAAAGATGTTTTTAAAGAGTCGGAGTCTCAGGGCGGATGTCACCAGAAGCAATGGAGTAGCGACAGGAAAGCCCGGCAGAGTCATCCCCCAAAAAGGAGCTCTCGCCGGCCGTGTGTCCCCTGCTCGGAGGACCAGCCGGAGGTGGCCAGCAGGTGGCAGCTGGAGCCCAAGGCTGGTGGCCCGCAGGAGCGTTCCGGGCTCGCCACAGCCACAGCCGAGCCCTGGGCACGCTGGCACCCGGCTCGGGCACGGCGCTCGCCCCCAAGGCCAGGGCGAGGAGCRGCGGCTGCGCCCAGCGCTGCTCCTCCCTCCTGCTCCTGCCCATGGCAGCGTGCGGCACCACCAAAACAACAACAGAAAAGAGCGAGATGAGGAGCAGGGACACGATCCCGCTGTTCCCACGGCACCGAGCTCCCGCGGCACTAACTGCATTATTTTCCCTCCTCCCGAGCGGAGGGAAGGTTTCAAGGAGAGGCGAGATGCTGATATCGCCCAACGCTGTCTGCCTCGGGAATGCCAGCTGACTTGGACCCTGCGTCCTGCTGTTTTGGGCCCAGGGCCAGGATCCATCCTGAGAAAATGCCACACAATACAGCAGCACAGAGGGCTGAGTAACCCCGGTTAAAGATAGCTCGGCCGCAGCYCGGGCTCTGTGAATCCTTTTCCATAGCGAGCGTACAAAAGCCTGGAGAGGATGAGTTCAGCCTGAAAACATTTCACCCGCGGCACGGYTCTTTCCAGAAGGAAAGAGGTAAACAAATGTCATTGTACCTCCTGCTGTGCCACAGGTGTCTCCTGGCTGGGTCCCTTGGGCACTGGGAGCTGCGTTTTGGGAGCTGCTTGTRCCGTGCCCTTCATTCAYGAGCCTGGGTTGCCAACCCCYGGATGCAGCAGGAAAGGGSATCCSCAGGGAGGTCCAGAGTYGGGGAATCACAGAACAGTTTGGGTYGGAAGGGACCCTRAAGCCCATCCARTGCCACCCCCTGCCAKGGGCAGGGACATCTTCCACTATCCCAGGCTGCTCCAAGTCTCACCCAAGCTGGACATGAACACTTSCAGGGATCCAGGGGCAGCCACAGCTTCTCTGGGCACCCTGTGCCAGGACATCACCTTTATATTGAGGCAGGAGCTGGCACGGCC